AAACACTTTAATGGGGAGATAATCTAGGGCAGTTTTTTTCAAACATGCCAACATTATGATGCTTGGACTTCAACTCTGAGAATTGCTAAGGAATTCTAGAAGTTGAAATTCATCTATCTTAAAGTTGTCAAGTTTTTAAAAAAACACCCAGGTTTCCTAAGGTGTGAATGGATTCCTCCTCTCCCAGATAAACAAAAGAATTAGAAGTAACCAAATGGGAATTAAAGGACCCAAAAAGCACTGTAATGGGAGTGTTGTTCAAACTTGCCAACTTTATGATGCATGGACTTCAACTCTCACAATTGCTAGGCAATTCTAGAAGTTGAAATGCATGTATCTTAAAAGTTGCCAAGTTTAAAAAAACAAACAAGTCCTGGTCCACAGTGACTTCCTTGGGTCAGAAAGACTACAGCTAAATATATGCTGCAGGGTATTTGGCCAGAATTAACAAGCAGGAAGAGACCAAAGAAAGATGTTTCGTGGAACTATATAGGCAGGTATAGGGTGTTTGTACAAATGATGTCACTCGTATAATTTACACCAGACATCCTGGTGTACAACTCATTTGCACAATCATCGTTTGTTATGGACATTACTGATGGGGATGGTGACTTCAGTGACACTCTCAGATTTCTAACATACACATCGTGATGACTATGGTTTGTTGACCAAGCTATTTGGTGAAAAAAAACCTGCTATGATTTCTTAAGTCCATTACGGTTCAGTGGATGTGAGCCCAACACTATCCTGATTTGCTTTCAGTTCCAACCGAATTAAGCCACGGAAGGCAGGAATGATTTCACTCGCCCCATTGCCACTGCATCCCGAGTTGGGTGGACAGCAGTACTGATGCCATTCTCTGTTCTAGAAAAATCCTTAATGACATAAGCTGTTATGGCAGGGGTCCCCAAACTTGGCAACTTTTAAGACTTGTGGACTTTAACTCCCAAAATTCTGGGAGTTGAAATTCACAAGTCTTAAAGTTGCCACGTTTGAAGACCTCTGTGTTAAGGGCTGATTTTCCTAAAGAGGAGCGTCTCTCACCTGACATACAATTCCTCCCAAAATATTTGCTTAAGACATGTGTCTTTGCCGTACACCTTTTCCACATTCACTCAAGGAAAGAAGGCTACACCATGAAAAGAATCAGGAAATAGATGAGAAAAGAAGCTCCCGTAGATTTTTTTAGGATTTAATGACAAAGAAAGGAATAAAAAGAACTGTGCAGTGGAGGTCACAGCAGCAATAAGGAAAGAGGCAGCTTTTAGTCCAAATCTTTGACCAGTTCGTTATCATATTGGTACTGTATAGCTTGGTTGAAGCTTGGCCTCCACTGGTAAGGATATATATATTTTTCCCAGCAAACACCCCACTTCTTAACCCACCGAGAGATGGGAACTTAGTTACTTTGGGGAAAGGGAAAGTAAGTTTTCCAAAAGCAGCCACATCAGATAATTTTACTTGCTCATGTTATCTAAGCCGCCAAGCTTCGTGGCTGTAGCTTGCCACCGTGACAGTCCTCTCTTGGTTTCTTCTGGGTGCAGACAGATGGGAAGTGTGAGGTACCAACCAGAGTGAGGCGCTCTGCCCAATACCAGCTTTCCGTACTTCCCTAACCATGTTCACCGAGGGAGCCCGTGTATTTAGCGACCTTCTCAAGGCCATGTTTTTGATGCGTGTACATGTTCACCACCTGTTTTCTGTGTGGGGGGGGGGGGGCTGAATGACAAAGTCGTGGCATGGCAGGCAAGCTGAGTTTCAGAGACAAGAGATCGCAGTACTGAACATCATTCCATCATCCCTGCCCTAAGTTTACATTTTATTGAGTTTTCAACAACCTCTCTGCAAAACACACTCATGTAGGCAAATGCTTCCCACCATCCAGCCACACTGGACGAAGGGACGGTACACACTGCTCACAGACAATGTGAAAAAAGGATCCCAGTTTCCACCGGGCAAAACTCAAATAGGCCACGTTACCATGCTGCTTAATAGTAGAACAGGGGGAAGGAAGAAATTGCAGCAACAGTCAAAAAAAAACCAGTCACTTCTGCCCTCGCTGGCATATCCCATCCTGTGCATAGTGTGAAACAGTGCAGTCCTTCTGAGTTCAAATGGAGCAAACTAGATTTCCCTTCAAACGAAACAAAACGAAAACGGAAAAAAAAAATAAGGAAGGAGAGGCCATTCAGCTTTTAGCTGGTCCGGCAGTGGACCTGATTCTCAGAGCTGTCTTCGTCATCCGAGCCTCCAGACCCACCACCAGTCATTCCTGTGATCCTGTAGCCCATGTTCATCAACATCACCTCCAAGGGATCAGCATTCATCCGCCTCTGGTTGGCTTGGGAAGCGCCTTCCATATCTTCTACCACTCGCCCGTTCAGTGCTTCGCTCTATGAAACAAAACGCAAAGACCAAAGTCCCAAATGTTGACTATTTGATGGCTCCACTCAAAAGTACCGTTCTACGCACCTTTCAGAGAGCCAACCTACAGCACAATAGGAGAAGCCTTCAAGACAAAAAGGGGATTGTTTGACTTGATGGGGTAGCATTAAATTATAAGGAAACCCAGAAACAACAGAAGGAAATATAACCCATATGTTGGGTAAATAAAACCCAACATATGGTTAAATGGAATTCCAATTTCCAATTTTAATAGATTTGTATGCCGCCCAATCCTGAAGGACTCCAGGCAGCTTACATAAAAACAGTTTAAAAGCATTTTAAAAAGTTTAAAATACAGGACAGAAACGAGTTAAAAGAAGGACACAACATTCACTCGATCTTAATGGGGCTGAAGGTCAATCTAGATCAACAGCCCCAGGCCTGCCGGAACAGCCAGGTCTTAACAGACTTACNTTTGACAGCACTCTCTAAGTGGTTTACAGAGTCAGCCTATTGCCCCCAACAATCTGGGTCCTCATTTTACCCACCTTGGAAGGATGGAAGGCTGAGTCAACCTTGAACTGGTGAGATTTGAACTGCCAAACTACAGGCAGCAGTAGTCTGCAGTACTGCATTTTAACTACTGCGCCACCATGGCTCTTCAATAGGGAACAAGTAAAAAATAAACATTTAAGGTTCATTTATGCCAAATTGTAAGATTGCACATTAGCTAATATATATCAAAGCACTGATGATGTCTTTATAAAAGGCACAGTAGATAAGCACCAGACTCAAACTGTCTCAAAAATAGAAAGACACCAAAACTAGAACAAAGTAATGTTTAATTGCTTAATCCTTTCTCTTCCAGGAACCAGAAGAACAGAAACATGCCACTCTGGATAATAACAACACAACAACAGAAGACTAAGGCTTGTTGCAAAGACAGTGTTTTGGCGTGGAAAAACACCTTACTTTGAATGCCTGAAAAGTTATATAAAGCAACCATTTTACCAGCAACCCAAAGAAGACTTTTCTTTATAGCTATTATACACCGGAGCAATTTCACTACTAATTATAAAAATAGCTTTGTTGGCTTTTTTAAAAAAAGTAGTCATTAGCCAAAAAGAAAAAGTAGTTCTCTCCCATACTCAGTAATGGGATGCATGCCCAAATCTAACCATATCCATTCCTCTTTCAGAATTTTCTACTCTCAATCCCATAGAACATTCTTTTTGTTTCACAAATAGAATGAATGAAGCATTCTGGAATACGGAGAATGAAGCATTCTAATGTTATAGAACTGTGTTTAGGCGACTCTTTCTGCCAAGGAGCGACCAATTAAAATAAACAGAACTCGATGCTTTAGAAGCTGCACCGTGAAACAAATGTTGATCATTTTCACTAGAACAAAGTGTGAGGTGACCTTCCTCCATCTAGTTAAAGTTTCTTTTAAATAAAGATAATAAAAAGGAAGCAAGCAGGCTGCAAAGCAAAAATAACCGGACTTTAGCATCCTTTTTATTGGCAGCAATGCCCCTGGAACATAAAAAAAAGTCTTGTAGTGAAAACTGTGGGGAGCCTATAGGCATTGTGGAAACACAATGAAGAGGCCAGTGTTTTGCAATATGCCACTCTATTTCTGTAAATGTCTCCTTAACTGTTTGTGACTATTCTTGTTCTGGTAGCTGTTCTGTGAACTAACACTTTTACTGTGGTACCCACTTTGTGAATATGGCTACAGTAAGTCCCCGATAGTGGATTTACACATTTTTTAATGTGGGCGTAACCCAAATCAAGGGGAAGCATTTGACAAAGAGAAGGAATTTCAGGCTATCAAGACTTGTTCCTGCAAGGCAGGTGTAAGTGGGGGCTTGGTACCCTGGTCCTTCTCTCTGCAACCTGTTACGTAAAACACTTCTCTTCAAAATATAGAAAAGTTAAGTTAGTTCTGAAGTACCTAGTTGGACATACAAAATTCATTCTTCTTGTTTCTTGGAATATCTCATACATCTAAAAAACCACTGAACAGGAAAGGAGCCCAATAGTTTTGTTCCATGCTCAATGGCAGTTGGCTTTTATAACGTTCCACACCCAGCATTTTTCTAGATCAGAAAAAGATCAATCCACTCTAGCATCTCATTCTCTACAAGGGATGGGGAGAAGCTACCTGTAGCCTTCTAATGATTGCTGAATTCCAATTCCCAGCACAGATTAAACCAGCACAACCATTATGGGAGGGGGGGGGAATCATGGGAATTACATCAACAGCTGGAAACCATAGCTTTCTTATTCCTACCCCTTGTAGGCTGAAGAAAGTGCTTTGCTGATGCAAAGTGGATTGAATTAGCCAGTATGATTGCAGGTATTTGGGAAGAAAATAACAACCCAGGTTTCCTAAGGAGTGAATAGATTCCTCCTTTTCCAGATTAACAAAAGAATTAGGAGTAACCAGATGGGAATTAAAGGACACAAAAAACACTTTAATGGGGAGATAATCTAGGGCAGTTTTTTTCAAACATGCCAACATTATGATGCTTGGACTTCAACTCTGAGAATTGCTAAGGAATTCTAGAAGTTGAAATTCATCTATCTTAAAGTTGTCAAGTTTTTAAAAAAACACCCAGGTTTCCTAAGGTGTGAATGGATTCCTCCTCTCCCAGATAAACAAAAGAATTAGAAGTAACCAAATGGGAATTAAAGGACTCAAAAAACACTGTAATGGGAGTGTTGTTCAAACTTGCCAACTTTATGATGCATGGACTTCAACTCTCAGAATTGCTAAGGAATTCTAGAAGTTGAAATTCATATATCTTAAAGTTGTCAAGTTTAAAAAAAAACACCCAGGTTTCCTAAGGTGTGA